AGAGCGTTCACTCCATAACGCTTTGGAAAATGCCAGGGGCTACGTTAGCCCCAAACTGTAGTCTTTTGACTTTGAAAGCTTCCCGGTGTGTTATGATCGTCTGGGCCTCAGCTGTTGCCTCATCACTGGTAGCTGTTGATAAGTCTGAGCCAAATCAAGTTTGGTGAAGACTCGGCCTCCCTTCAGTGAGACCAAAATGTGGCTCACCACAGGCACCGGATAAGAGTGCTGCTGTAACGCTTTGTTTAACGTGCATTTATAGTCAGCACAAATGCGGACTTCTCCATTGGCCTTCAGTGGCATAACTATTGGTGTTTCCCATAGACTGCTATCCACAGATTCCAAAATACCTTGCTGGAGCAGTTTGTCCAGCTCAGCATTAATCTTTGGCTTCAGCGCAAAAGGCACCCGACAAGGCTTAACCCTAATTGGGGCAATGGACGGGTCTAACCGCAAAGCAATTGGAGGCTCCCTGTACGACCCCAGTTCTGGGCTAAACACATCAGCAAACTCCTTGCAAACTTCTGCAAGGCCTGTCATTTGCAAGCTGTGCAGCCCAGTCACTTGAATCCCAAGTGCCTCGAATCAATCGAGTCCAATTAGACTCGTGTGGTTGCCCTCTACCACAACAATGTCCAGGAACCCTTCAAATTTCCTACGCTGCACCTTGAGCGTGGCCTCCCCTTTTACCCTGACTTGGGAATTCTGAAAGTCTGTTAAGACCAGATTCGATACCCTGAGTTTAACTCGCTGGCCACTTTTGTAGCAGATTTGCTTAAGGGTGTCCTGGGATATGATTCACAAAGCTGAACCTGTGTCCAGCTCCATCATTAAGGGGACCCCCTACAATTTGACATCAATGCAAAGCTTCTTCTTTAATGGCCTGTGGGCCCCTGTCTTCAAAATGCTCTTGCGGGTCGCGCAGAAACCCACTATTCTGACTGGGAACCCTGATACCTTTCCGAGGCAATTCTTCCAAAGGACGGTTTTTGTGCGACCCAAACAGATGGCAGCTATGTGGCCTTGCCTGCCACATGCCTGGCAAATGGCAGAGGGAAACGGCAATCAGAGCACTTGTGGCAGCCTCCACACTCGAAACACCAAGGGAATTGAATGGCCTTGTCAGCTCGCTTGTCAGCTCGCTCATGGGGCCTCCTCTTCGCTGGCTGCTGTAGGCGGTCAACCTCATTTTTGGAATCAGGATCAGCTACCTCTCGAGCAACCTCTTGATGGACGGAGCCTGAACTGTAGGATGCTTGGAAAGCCGCAAGGCCTTAACAGCTCCTCCTGCTGCTTCATTGGCCATGATTTCCCTTAGTGCATCCTGGAAGGAAACGTCTTCCTTTGAAAAATCTTTTGTTGCAACTCACAGCTCCTCAAACCACAAACTAGACAATCTCGAAATCTTTCCTCCAAGTCTTTGAACTCACAGGGCCTAGCAGCTTGTCGCAGCGTAGCAATAAAGTCCGCAGCAGACTCTCCTGGCCTTTGGTCCCGCTGTTCAAATCCGTGATGCCAGGCAATCACTGATAGTTTTGGTTCTAAATGTTCCCTTAACATTTTCTTCAGCTCAGTGTAAGCGATGGATTCCAGAGGTGCTGGGGCAGCCACATTCTTGGCAATATCAAATGTCTCTTGCCCACAGACACACTAACATTGCGGCTTTAGAGCCCGTCTTCCCGAACTTGGTTTACTTGGAAGTAGTTTTCTACTTCGGCTACATATGAGCTCCAACATTCAGGGTGAGCTGTATCGAATTCGGACAAATGCCCTATCTTCGACATCGTTACTTCTTAGCAGCCTCATCAACACCTCGTGCTGCTCCGGCTTGCGAAGGGGTTCCAGGACGAATCTCGTCGAGCTCTCCTCCAGCATCTTCGTACTGGCAGGCAGAATCGGAACACCAAACTTCCAAGCACTTTGGGCCTTCTGTGGTGAGTCACCCTACTTTCTTTTCGTTGTTTTCTTGCAGCACAATCCCATCCTCATCGCCAATGTTCTGTTCTGTGCGTTGGTAAGGCATTGAGACGAGGCAGGAGTAACAACAGTTGCTTCTTTATTTAATCTCCAACAGAACAACACAAAATGGTGCGGATCCCCTTTATACCCCCTTGCAGGAAGTGGCATCAACCAGTCAATGTTTCCCGCCTTGCGCATGCACAATAGGCTGGAGACAGCCTGTCTGGCCCGGGCAGCCACGTGGTCTGCCTGGGTCTCTCTGCAGCTTCCTGCACCTGCTGTGTTAATCACAGCCCAGGACATAACAGTACATTAAAAGTTAATTTCAACAAGTTGAGAGATATGCTAAATCTGATTGCATTGACAGGAATCCTTAGGACAAAGGAAGTACAGGAGGAGGAGCACTGGAAATACAATAACACATCATTCCAATGAGGGGGAAAAATGGGCAGCTTAGAAAACTGTTGTGGGTACATCGGGTAATTTTGACTAAGCTAAATGTTGAAGATAAAATATATAGAAAACAGAAAGTGGGTTGTAATTTCCAAGAAGTATTAGCAAGTAGTTAATATTTGCTGAAAGAAATCAAGTTTAAATTGCAAAACTTAACTTCAGCTCACAAGGGAAGTTGAAAGCAATAAAAAGAGCTTTTTTGATTATTCTACCATTTTTTCCTGGCAGTGGGCCTCCTCGATCTGAAGAAAAAGAGGCTGTCTCAATGTTATTCTGTTGTGTTAAAATAGAAATATGGAGCAGGACAGGCACTTTGTTAGAGAACTGGAGGCTAGCAAATGCTGATATCTTCAGAAAAGAAAAAAGGAGGACCTGAGGAATGAGATTAGTCATCTGATATTGAAACTGGAAAAATTCTGTAATAGATTATTAAGCATTTTGTGAGCATTTAGGAAAGAATGCAGTGCTTGGAAGGCTAGCAGAGGCCTATCAAGAATTATGAGGTTCAGCAACCTGATCTTTTTTTTTTTTTTTTTTTTACTAACCATTTAGTTGGTCATGGGGATATGCTATAGTAATGCATCTTGAGTTCAGCAAACATTCAACAAAGTCTCCCATGAAATTTTAGTAGAGAAGATGGAAAAATGAGGGCTAGACTATGTTGCCATTAGTAGATTACAGAACTGGTTGAATAATTGTACTCAACAATTGTATATTTGTGGTTTCTCATCATTTGAAAAGTAACGTCAACGTGGTGAACTGCAGGACTCAATTCTGTTCAATATATTGAGAGCCAGTTTGGTCTAGTGGTGAAGGCACCAGATTAGAAAACAGGAGACCATGAGTTCAAGTCCCCCCTTAGCCATGAAAGCCAGCTGAGTGACCAGTTCCTGTCTCTCTGCCCAACTCACCTCACAAGGTAATTGTGGGGAAAATAGGGGGAAGAAGATGTGTTGGATATGTTTACTGCCTTGAGTTATTTGTAAAAAAATAAAAGTGAGATACAAATAAATTAATAAATATTTATAAATGACATGGATGACAAGTTACAAAATTATACAAATATAGAAGGGATACCTTATGGAAAAATACCAAGAGTCACAAGAATTTTGACAGGCAGGAAAAATGGGGAGAACCAATAAAATGAATTTCAACAAGGATAAGTGCAAATTAAAGGCACAAGTATAGGATAGAGGGACTATATTGCAGAAGTCCCCAACTTTTTGGGCACCAGGGACCAGTTCTGTGGAGATAGGTTTTTCCACAGACCAGAGGGTGCATGGTTTTGTGTGCTGTCTGCATCCCACAAATGGGGCTTTGCTTGTTTGTGCAGACCAATTGCTGGCATGGACCAGGGGTTGGAGACCCCTGCTATATTGGATAGCAGTATGGCAAAAAAAAAAAAAAGTGTGTTGGCACATGACATAAAACAATGTGATGCCAAAATTGTTAATATAGTACTTGACTGCATCAGCAGAAGTAGCATCTAAATCAAGAGAAACGATTCTTCCTCTCTATTCTCTGATAATTACTGCATTCAGTTCAGGTCACTGCATTTCAGAAAAGAAATGGGCAAACCTGAGCATGTGTTGAGAAGACAACAGTGATGACCTGGAAGTAAGGAACAGTTGGAGGCACTGGTAGGTTGAGCTTGCAGAAGAGAAAACTGTAGGAAGACATGATAAAAGGGTTGCCATTTTGTTGGGAAGAGAGTGCAGATTTGGAGGCACTTCAGAAGACCGAAAAAGAAATAATAGGTTTAAATGGCAAGGTTGGAGAGCAGGAAGAATTTTCTAATGTTCAACAATGAAAGTGACTGAATTGGTAGACGATGGGCTTCTTTACCGGAGGTTTTTGAACAAAAATGGGAGCACTTTAAGTAGTGGATTCCTGAATTGGAAGTTTGGACTTCACTAAATGATTTCCAAGATCTCTTCCAAATCTTATGTTCTCTGATTCCCTGAAGTATCTTTTTACTTTACACATGCTTCATGAGTACTGACAGGTAAATAAATTATGTAATACTGAATGTAAAAATAAACATAAGCTTATGAAACTTTAGATAAACAGGAATTACTTTCCTTCTATTTGCCAGCATCTTACTAAAATACTGTGTAAAGGTCATAGTGTAATAGATAATGTGGCATATTTGGTGGATATTTCCTCCTAATTATTTTCTTAGAAAAAGTTGACAGACCATTTGCTATGTACTGCAACCTCTGAATTCTTTCTAAATGATATTTGATAAAGTATCCTTTATAAAAAAAAATTTTGGTGAGGTCAGCCAACTCCCAACTATATTTATGGGTGATGAATTTATGTAGAATCAGCTCACATATATCTATTGTTCTAGATCTTAGTTGATAATATTTGTTGTCTTGTGATTTCAGCGAAGACTGGGGAGAGTCTGCCTTGTGTGATCAAGACCCCTATTTCATTTTGTTGCACCAGACGGTATTCATACTGCTTATTTAGTTGCTACCCACAGTACTTTGCAAACAAAGAGCTTTGAGTCCACTTGTCTTGGTGTAATGGGAATGGGATGACACCATGCAAGTGAAAAGGCAACAAAACCTGAGTGGACTAACAGGCAGCGGCTGGTGCTGCAGTAAAAGGCTGAGGTTGGCAGTGGAGGCTGCAAGTGGGTCGGCTCTTACCTGACCACCTGCAAAAATGACAGGGGTGGAGGCAGGCTTTGGGCGATAGGGGATGGTGGCACCTTTTGGTGGGGACTAGGAAAAGGGACAAGGAGAGGGAGAGAGAACATTAGACCACATTTCCTGAAACGGTAGCAAAAAGAGTGTTAGAGGGCAACCGAACATGTACAAATCAAAGCATACTGAATATGAACTGATAGAGTTAACTCTGCAAGGTTTTGTTACCAGACCAGAAATTAAAGGTAGAATCATTTAGTGGACCATTAATTGTGGCCAGATGTTCATTTGCCTTGGGATTGCTGGGCACAAGTTAAAGGCTCTCCTTTCCATTGATGACCTGCTTAAGACAGCAGCAGAGGGACTGTAGAGTTGCAAGGTTTCCAGCCCTCTGAAGACCACTTCCAAGACCTTCCTCTGAGCCTTTGTCCAAATTATGACTTCCATTTTTTTCTGCTGCCACGAAGCTGCCCCTTTTATTTTAGTATTTTGGGACAATCACAAGATACATTTTAAAAACTATTGCAAATAATTTAGTAATATAGCTCACTCACCCACTTCATTTTTTCCCAAAGAGCCACCAATCTGGTGTGGCAGCCAAAAGGCATGAATGTGGCTTCCTGAGACTTTCAAAAATTATTACCCAATTCTAATTTTTAAATAAGGGAGAAGAAGAAAATGACTAAATATATGACTGGAAAGTAACTATAGTAAGTGTATTTAATGACATTTACCTAGAAATAAAATCAAATTAAGTTTCCATGCTGGCTTTATTTACTACTTTTGGGGGCAGTGCTGCCTTTAACTACTACTCAAAAGCCAACAAAGAATTGCACGTCCCTGCGCTAAAGTTACTTATTGTTGGATTAACATTTGTTCCTCCACATGGCAGTCAAATCTAACTGTGTGAACCTTATTTATATTCTTATGTATTGCATATTAATTTGAATCACTTTTACTTTCTTTCAAAACTTGCATATGCAATGGTTATAGTTTGATTTTTCAATTCCTCCCTAATATTTAGAATGAATGTGACTTATGATGCTGCATATGCAAGTCACAATATTTGGATATTCTGAGAAGACATGTCTAAGACTGTAGCAGGATCAGAAAACAATACCAAGTGTAGCAACCATTAATTTCACCAGTAAGGTTCAATACAATGAAATTCATGAAGAAAAACGTAAAACAGAATTCTGGAAATAATGAACCCTGGCCTGGAGCCAATAGAGCATAATTAAGTCATACATAGAAAGATTATTTAATTACATGAAAAAATTTACATGCTAGAGAAGGATCTAGGTACTTTCTTAGCTGAAATATTCATGAAATGTTACCTTGAAAATCTGCAATGAAAAAAAGATAAAGCACTTGTTTTTTTGGATACAATGGGAAAGCCCCTTTTTGATCTCAGTGAAGTTTAAGCACCTTGCTATTATTGCAGCTAGAATTGCTCATTAACTTCAGCTACCAGGAATCTGCCCTTGCACTGATTTCTTCAACATCTTTTCATAAACATGAATGCACCTACAACCCCCACTTAATCCAATATTATCAACACCCATTTTTGTTTCTAGATTTTCATACGCTAGCAAACACATTCTGTTGATAATTCCACAGCACATCACCTAACAGATATTAATGTTTGTTTTATTTTTGGATAAAAGTGCTCTAAAATCAAGAGAGCTTTCATCTGAAAGTAGAGGATGGAGACAAATGTACTGGTCTGATGCTAGAAATATCCTTGAGAGTTGAAGAATACAAATAATACTAAGAAATTGATGAATTAGAAAAATAGAAATAATATTATTAACGCAGTCCTCTTTTCATTCCTGTTTCTTTAGGTTTTTGGAGAATATAATTGTTTCATATTAAATCTGCAAAAACATATCTCACTGCATCTTTTATAATTAAAGAATATTTAATGACAATATAAACCAAATGGGCTAGTAGGTATTGCAAGCCTCCACACTCTGTCTCCCTGAACTACTATTTTACCCTAAATCTTCACAGAATTACTTTCTCATGTAGCCATCCAGAGCTGTTTTGAACCCCAGATTGGTTGAATGCTTGAGTAGGCAAGAACCAATAACAATCAGTTCTTCAGTTATTTACATATGTTCCTTTTATACGTTACCCCTATTGTTACAAACTGTACCTCCAGCATCACCACACAGATCTGTTTGACACACTGGATAATTGCATCGGGGGTCCCTGAGATGGTCACTGCCCTTTCTGTAGAGTTGGGCAGCATATCCCCCGCCACCTGAACCTGAGCACCTGTAGACTGAAGAAAGGAAACAACTTATTTTTTCTGCACAGGCACTTCAACATCCAGGTATAACCATTCTTTGCTCTCTTTTCATATATATAAATCTCTCTCTCTCTCTCTGTGTGTGTGTGTGTGTGTGTGTGTGCACGTGCACGCGTGTGTGTAAATCCATAAGAACCAACATTCTCTGGGAAATGAAAAAAAATTAAAATAAACGGTAACTAAATAATGGATGAACAGTGGTGTTGCTAATAGGTTAGAGTAGGAACAGCGCATGAGTAAAATAAAAAATAAAACCCAGTGATAAATTTGGCATTAAAAAGATATGAATATAGGCATCAAGTTTGCCTCTTTCAGGTTGGCATTTAATAAGCACAAAGTAACTACCCCACCCTCCTTCCTTGTTTCAGTGACCAAGGCATGGAGGCAGCTCAATGAAAACCTTGGACAATGAATTGAGAGGGTAGGATACTATCCTACTTCAGTAACCTGGACCAATACCCTTTGGTTGGTTTTAGAGATTAAACCATCCAGGCCTTTGAATTGAATCTACAAATCCATGGTGGATTGCAATGGATTAGTACTAACATGATCAGATTAGCCACTCTCAGATTACTGTCTACTGTTCATTTTGGATCAATTTTATTTTCTAGACAATTTTCAACATAAAATCCAAACAGAAGATTATAAATCATAGAATAACTATTGCAATATACTTTTGTCCATGTTTTAATTGTATATTATCTGAAATCATCAAAAATCACTCTGCTAAACTGGGCTAGCCATACCATTAGGCAGAGTCAGGCAACTGTCTCATGCAGCCATTGTAGACAATTGGCCATCACTGCTCCTGCCCTCTGGCACAGCATCCCTCCCCCCCAAAGACAAATGGCACCCCCTCTCTTGTGGTTACAGAAAGCCCTTAAGACATGGCTGTGTTTCCAGGTCTGGGGTTAATGTGTTTGTGGGGTTCCTTATTACGTTTGCTTGTTATTATTATGGCTGTTTTTAATCCAGACTTTCCATTTTGTTTTACACTTTTCATTGTTTTAACTATCGGTTTAGATTTTGTAAATCACCCAAATTTTACTAGAATGGATGGCCTTAACAAATTTAGACAAATAAATAAAAATAAATTACTAGTATTGTATTTTTGTTGGTTCTACAACAGTGTTATATAAAACAGAATGGAACAGCTGGAGGGCAGTTATTCCCAGAGAATGTCCAGCTAATTTATTTACTTCTTTTAACATATAAATAATATATTTATAATTGTAGTTTTGTCATCAATATTAACACCATTTCAATTCAGCACAGATGAACTTAAATAGATTGTGGCCAAATGAAATTTGCTGTAAGTGGAAATTCTTGCCCTCAGAAGACATGAAGATTTTCAGTGATTCCTGCTTCACTTCATGACAATTGACTTCATGTAGATTTATGAATTAGAGAGGTTTAAAGACCAGTCTTTCTTTTATTTCTCATAGAAAATAACTTTCTCTGCACATAGGGAAATCAGAGACTTACCTCCCTGATTTCTTTAATCTTGGAGCCTCCTTTACCTATTAATGATCCACATTGGCTTGCTGGTACAACCAACCTTAATGTAACTGGTGGCTTACTTGTAGCTGTGCTGTTACTCATTGAGTTGATTATATCCTTTGGGAAGGAAGGGAAGGAGGAAGTTAGAATGGTACTTTATTAGAATGAACCAAGCATTTTTATCACATTGTGGAACTGTGAATGAGCAAATAGGAAAATAGAATTAGTTTTCTTCTGCCTAAGTTGTTAAAACCAGCAGATTTTTTACATCTAGGAAATTTGTATCTTACATTTTACAATAGTTCTTCATCATTACTATTATTACACATTTAGGACAATGTCAAAGGAACAGAATATGAACAAATTAAAAGAACTATTTTATATTAATGTCCCTAGTACATTAAAGAGCTTGATGGCTCAGTGGTTAAAGGCGCTGAGCTTGTCAGTTGGAAAGCTGACAGCCTGGATTCAAGACCCAAGCACCGCATGACTTGCCCCATTTCCTGCCCACCTAGCCTTTTGAAACTATGTAAATGCAAGTAGATAAATAGTTACCACTTTGGTGGTAATGTAACAGCATTCCATGCTGTAGTCATGCTGGCCACATGACCACAGAAATGTCTTCAGACAACACTGGCTCTCACAGCTAAGAAATGGAGATGAGCACCGCCCCATAGAGTTGGACATGACTAGACAGGGGAAACTTTTACCTTTACCTTAAAGTTATTTTGCAATGCTAATCTCCTGAAAAAATGGCTGTATAATTGAGTGAACAAATATTTTTCAATCTGACATATCCTGACATACATATATCACAAAAAAATTCTCTGGTAGGGTATTTATTAGGATCATTCTTGATTCCAGACAGATCCCAAACTAAACCATAATGAAATGATAGGTCTGGTGCATATGTATCACTATTCCTATAATATTTCTTTTTTTAAAAAGCATTTTTAGGAGTTTTTCCCAAAAAAGAATCAGTAGAAAATAAACATTTCCTTAGATGTTTCTTACCTCTTCAAATTTATAAGCAATCATTGCAAATGCTTTGAAGATGGCATCAGTAGGGCCTGTAATGGTCACAATCCTTTCTGGACAGTTTCCTTCTGAGATATTGATTCGTGCTCCACTCTATAATTGAGAGATCACATCTTGTCATATATATGGGGATGTTGAAAATATAGTATACCTGAGGGAGTTTCCGGTGACATCGCTGCAACACAGATGCAGGGGAATGAAGCTCCGTTCCCCAAGTCTGATTTCTACCAGCTGGGAAGGGTCCAATAGGACTGAAAGTCGTCCCGTAGAAGTGACTGGCCAAAGGGTGAAACTTTGTAGATTGTGGGCCAGCGGTAGCTGACCTGCTTGATCCAAAGTAGCCCTTGGGACCAGCAGGAAGAAAGGGTGACCGCACCCATGTGGTCAGCCAGAAGCAGCTGATTGTCGGAGACAACGAGTACTAACAAGCGGAAAGCAAAACAACTGATCTGGCTGAGACTACTTTCCTTACCTCTGTACAAGCAAAAACTACCAGTTCTGGAAAAAAGCACTCAAAAGCAAGAAATCCCCAAGCTTTAGAGAGGGAGGATTTTTTTCTTTACCCCCTTCCTCCTGAACTAGAAGCGGTGATTTAAGCTTTGGGGAAATTAAAACTGACTTATAACAATATTCTGAAGACAATTGAGGGATAAAAGAAGGATAATTTGGGAAACTTTTGCATTTATAAATCTTTTTTTTATTCCTGGTTTGGAAACCATTGGATTTTAACTTTTTAACTTTTTAAAGTTTGGTGGGAATGGACATCTAATGACATCTAGTGCAAAACTGAGAACTACATTTAACCTTGCTTTTTTATCTTACTACTACTACTAATAATAGTAAAGTTGGAAGGGACCTTGGAGGTCATCAAGTCCAACCCCCTGCTCAGGCAGGTAACCCTATTCTGTTTCGGACAAATGGCTGTCCAGTTTCTTCTTTAAAATGTCCAGTGTTGGAGCATTCACTACTTCTGGAGGCAGGTTGTTCCACTGGTTAATTGTTCTAACTGTCAGGAAGTTTCTCCTTAGTTCTAGGTTGCTTCTCTCTTTGGTTAGTCTCCACTCATTGCTTCTTGTCCTGCCTTCAGGTGCTTTGGAGAATAGCTTGACTCCCTCTTCTTTGTGGCAGCCCCTGAGATATTGGAACACTGCTATTATGTCCCCCCTTGTCCTTCTCTTCGTTAAACTAGACATACCTAATTCCAGCAACCATTCCTTATATGTTTTAGCCTCCAGTCCCCTAATTATCTTTGTTGCTCTTCTCTGTACTCTTTCTAGAGTCTCAACATCTTTTTTACATTGTGGTGAACAAAACTGGATGCAGTATTCCAAGTGTGGCCTTACCAAGGCATTGTAAAGTGGTATTAATACTTCACATGATCTTGATTCTACCCCTCTGTTAATGTAGCCTAGCACTGTGTTGGCTTTTTTGGCAGCTGCAGCACACTGCTGGCTCATATAAGTTGTTTTGACTGGAGCTCTAAAACATGGCTAGATGCCCAGACACCATTTATAGTTTAAACTTTTGGGTGTCCTTGGAATTTATAGTCCTGAAGATTGTGGCTGGAAAAGAGAAGATTCTTTTTGGATTGCCTTTTTTTACAGGATGGATTACAATTATAAATAAAAATTGTTTTTGAAGTCATCTGGCTTCCCTGGATTACAAATACAGCTTGACCTGGAACTTTTACAAGATGTTTTGATGGAGTGAATAACAAGAAACTTCTTCTAACAGAACACTTTGGATCACAAATTTTGGTACATTTATTTTCTTTTTTCCCTTTTGTTCTTTTTTATTACTATTTTTTATTATTTACCACTCCTATTTGTTATGAGACTATTGGATTACAAATTCTGATTTACTTGGTGGATTATAAAGTATGATTAAAAGATAAAAATAAAAATTAAAAGACAAAAATAAATCTATCTAAAGTTGGAAAAAAAAGGAACTTCTGCTTCTGCAAGTCCAGTTTATCAGAGATCAATTAATACAATGCTCCAACAAGAAAAGGCTAATAACTTCCAAAAGGAAACTCAAGCGACATTACAAGCAATTCAAGAGGCAATCATTACTCACATGGCGGCTACAACAAGAAACCATGAGGAGATGAAAAGTGATCTTGATAAAATGAATAAAAAAATTAATAACATGGACTCTCAGTTTGAAAATTTTAAACAGACAGTTACAGATAACCAACAAAGAATCCAAAAAAATAGAAGATAAATCAACTGAGGTTGAACAGAAATTAGAAGTCTTAAAAGATGAAAATCAGAAATTGATGCAAATAAATGGAGAACTAGAAGACTTGATAGCTGGGATAGAGATAGAAAGAGCCTCATATTTTTTAAGATTTCAAAATATAATGGAAGATAAGGAAGAGGATCTCCTGGACTTGATAACGGAATTATTGGCAGATGCATTAGGAATTGGGAAACAAGAAATGGAAGGAGAATTAGATCAGATCTATCGAGTCAACTCAAACTATGCCAGAAGAAATAAAGTCCCCAGGGAAGTATATGTTAGTTTTCTCAAAAGATCTGTAAGAGATGAGATTCTGAGAAGAGTAAGAGATGAACCTTTGAAATAAAAAGAAAAAGAAATTGTAGTCCTCAAACAAATCCCAAGGAGAATAAGAGAATCCCGAAGAGAATACCAGTTTCTAACTAGGAAATTAATTGAAAAAGAAGTGAATTTCAGATGGCTGATTCCAGAAGGGATTTTAATCTAATGGGATAAGAAAAGATATAGATTGGATACGCCACCCAAAGCAATGGAACTCTACGACAACCATAGAGCATTTCTGGAAGGAGGTAATTTTGAATCTGGTACAAAGAGAGAAACAAAGAAACAGAAAGAAATGGCAGTAGAAGAAGCAGTCACACCAAGAGAGGAGGAAGAAGTTAAAAACACATATACAGAAGAAGGAGCAAGACCAAGAGATCAGAGACAGATAAGATCGACTAGAAGATTAAGACCTAGATATAATTGAAAGAGATGTAGAAGGAGAGTGGGATTTTGTCAACAAATATAAATAAACTAAATTCTCCCTGAAAAAGGAAAACATTCTTTACACGACTACAAAAATTAAAAATGGATATAATTTGCCTCCAAGAAACACATATTAAAAGAACACTATAAGTTGTTAGAACAACTGAAAATTGGTAAACTTCACTTTGCATTAGCACTTCAAAAGAAAAGAGGAATAGCTCTATACATTAAAGAAACGATGAACCCTAAACAAATTTATGCAGATGGAGAGGGGAGGATATTAATGGTGGAAATAATGATGGATCAAAAACAGATACTGATGGTAGCAATATATGCACCAAATGATAAACAATTTTACCAAAAATTACATAAAAATATTAGAATTGAACTATCAAAATCTCTGTATAATGGGAGACTTTAATGCAATAACAGATGGAACTTTGGACCATAAAAATGCTAAACAAGGGAGGAAAGGAGGAAATATATTACCTAAAGAGTTTTCAAAAATGACAGAAGAACTCTGTATCCAAGATATATGGAGAGAAAAAAAATCCAAAGAAATTACAATATACATTTTACTCAAATAGACATAAATCATGGTCTAGAATTGATATGATATGAACACCTTTGGAACTTAATATGATGATAGAAGAAATTGAGAAAGAAATTTATGTTTGGGCAGATCATAACCCAATAAAGATGAAACCCTTCTTTTATAAACATTACTCATTGTTTTTTTAAAACATGAACCCAGACATTATACTGTTTGCTAAATATTGAGAATGTTATTTGAAAAAACCCTAACCTCAACCCCAACTCTAACCCTAACCCAAATCCCAACCCCAATCCCGACCCCACCTTATTCCTAATCCTATAAAAACTAATGTAACGGAACTGGGGTGAGAATGGGGTCGGCTGAGAGGTTTTGCAGGAACCCTGCCAATCCAGCAGAGAAACGAGGAGCTCCGGCAGCAGCTGTTGGGCTGGTGATGGGGTGTGGCTCTGAGGAGGAGGAAGCCAACAGAGAAAAAAAAAGAAGAAGGAAGGTGGCGAGTTTGGGAATCAGGAGTTGGTTTGGTGAAGAATTAGCCAGGCAAAGAGACAGAGTAAGAGAATGGGGCTTTGTGTCCTTTTTCTTTGTTTTTTTGTTGCGGGCAAGCTGAACAGAGAGAGGGGGTGGGAGAAAGAGAGAGGGAGAGAGAGAGAGAGAGTGGGAGGAGGTGAAGCCTTTTACTGTTTTTTCATTGTGGGCAAGCTGGATGGAGAGAGAGAGGGAAAGAGAGAGGGGGAGGAGGTGAAGCTTTTTACTGTTTTTTTTTTTCATTATGGGCAAGCCGGACGAAGGGAAATAGAGAGGTTAGGTCAGGGAAGTTTTATTTTTTCCCTTCTCTGGAGCAAGCTGGGTAGAGAAAGAGGGAGGGAAGAGCTTGACCGGGTTAAATGTATTTTTTTAGTGGGGAAAAGTTAGAGGGAGAAGGATAGGGAACTAGAGAGGGTAGGTCAGGGAAGTTTTACTTTTTTCCTTTTGCTGGAGCAAGCTGGAAGAGGCAAAGGGGGCAGAGAAGGGGAGGATTATGTGGAGTGAGGGCAGAAAGAGATGAGGAGCGTGGAGAAGGAATGTCCCTGCAAGTTCTAGAGAGAGATTGACCACCTTCACACCACGCAAGCTGCTGTTACCAGGGGCTGACTACTATCGTCGTACGCAAGCTGCTGTTACCAGGAATGGATTACCATCGCCTTATGCAGGCTGCTGTTACCAGGGATGGACTACCATCGACCTATGCAGGCTGCTGTTACCAGGACTGATTACCATTGTCGTATACAAGTTGCTGTTACCAGGGACCAACTACCATCGCCCCCTGTAAGCTGGGACTGCCTGAGATTGATCATCATTATTCCACGTGAGCTACCGCAAAGAGAAATCGACCATTGTTACCTCATGTGAGTGTCTGCCGACCGTGACTGAGCATCACTGCACTAGTTAATCAGAGATGCCAAAGTGAAATGAGCCGAGGTGGTGCAGCAGTTAGGGTGCAGTACTACAGGCCACTTTAGCTGACTGTGTTCAGCAGGTCAGCGGTTCAAATCTCACCGGCTCAAGATTG